TGTTTTTGGGATCTGAGAAATGGACATAGAAGCCCAAAGATGTACAGAAGAAGGGACTGAGGGAGATTTGGGGGTTGTAAACCTTGAGTTTCATTCATGGGGTCTTTAAGGACACAGTGGCTGTCAGAGAAAGAGAGGGAGAGAGTCTGACTTCTTGGTCAGTGAGCATCCTTGACCTGTTCCAGCAGTTCTTACAGGACCTAGTGAGGGCGGCGGGACTGGCAGGCTGGCAACGCCCCCACTGTCTTAGAGTTCCAGTCCCTTTTACAGCAAAGATGGTATTCTTTAGGGAGCCGGGGAAATCCTGGACCTGGGGTGATCACAGCTGTAATCACCACATTGTGGTGTTCCATGCTTTGAGCTGCCGGCCGCAGCACGCCAACAGCTTGAGGAAAAGCCCCTCAGTAGGCTCTATTTCTCTTCTTGAGGCTCTGACCTAGGATTCCCCCAATAGAGCAGTTCCTGGGTGTTGTCCCCTCAGGCTCTCGGCCCTGGGCAGCAGAGGGCTGCGTGGTGATGCCCCTTGGAGGCTCTCAGAGCCTCTAGGCCAAAACACGTCCATTGCTTTGGGATTCCCTGGGAATGTTCTGCTGCCATCTCACCGGGCCAGTGGAGGAGAAAGAAAGAGTTTGGTGCCAGATATGGCAACACAGAAGGGTGCAGGCAGGAACTCTGAATCTGACCCCACATCTAATGAGCCTATTCTTAGAGGCTCTTGACAGAGCACGGGAAATCAAACGCTAATGAAAAGCAGGTTCCGAGAAGAGCTTGAAACTCAGCACCAGCCCGATTACATGTTCCCTTTCGGGCCACGGAGGGAGTCTTGAGTGATGAGCTGAGCGCGCTGGCAAGCCAGCTTTCGGGGATCTGGATGGGGCAGCGATGGCAGCGTGAACAGCCGTCGACCTCATTTGGTGGAGAAGTTTAGGCTGAAGGAAATTACAGGCTCTTTCTTCCGGTTTTCAGTTATCCAAACGGCTGTCCCATCACGTGGCCATGCTTTGTGGGGCTGTGGGAGCGATCCAGCAGATGTTGGTTTACAGAAACGTCCAATGTTAAGGAATTGTCTTGCTAACTCTTCCATCCCAAAGGCCCTCAAGGAGAACTTGAAGTGGTCAGCGGTGTTGGCCAGCATCAGGCTGGATGGATTTGGGCCAACCAAGGCACATCTGGGCTTTTCAATTCCTTCTTGCTTGGTTTGGGGTGTACCCCCAAAGCTGTAGGAAGGGAGGATTGATAAGGGGCTAAGAATACACACTTGAGATAACTTCCTGTGCTTATCCAGCATGTAGATGTCCAGAGTTGTATCTGGTGGGAGCTTCAGGCTCAAGTTTGGATAGACAGGTTTCCAAAGCATCTATCGTCCGCTTTTCTTTTGTTCTAATGTCTCCTTGTCACAGAAGCCTTCCCTGGGCCCCCGAGGCAGAATCGCCCTGATCATATCTCCACTTGAAATATGTGTGTTCATTTAGCTGGTCTTCCACTAAAATGCGCACTCTGCAAGAGTGAGGGATTTGCCCTCTCTGTTTATCGTGGTATCTTTAGCACCTTGAACAGCATGGGGTCTGTCATATGTGTCCAGTGGAATTCCGGGCATAAATGCAAGCCTGGAAGGAGGCTTGCTAAAGCCGGCTGCTACCAGTCTGTCCATGAAAGGGCCTCGTTCCCAGGAGAAAGCAAGGTGCCCTTTGTCATTGCTTTCTAATTCCTCATTTCTCCAAGCAAATGTTCATCACGGACTTGGAGCCAGGCATGAAAGATCACAGCCCTGCTCTCCCGGGGCTCGCAGACTGGTGGCAGATGAAGACGTTGGCATTAAATCCTTTCTTTAAGATACAGCTCTGGCATCAGCCCTCCGGGGAGCCTTTCTTGAACATTCTTGTCCCACAATGCAAGGTTGGGTGCCATTTTTCCCATAGCACAGTAAGCCCTGCAGAGCTTGACTGTGACCTACAAGTGAAGCAGACAAGTACTATACAAAGGGCTTTCTGTTTCCCCTCACGAGCTCAAGAGCAAGGATTGCCCCTTACTCTTTCCTGAGCAGAGCGGCTGACATACAGAATACTCAGTAAGTGGGAGGTATCCTTGCGATTGCCGCTGTGACTATGTGCTTTCAGGAACCAGCATTCAGATAGCCGTGTACGTGGATAACCTCATTTAAGATATTCTGAAGCTGTATAAGGCTTGGAAACAGCTCTGTACTGTTCTATAGTATGATATAATGCTGTTTTCTCTAATATTTGCTGTTTCGTGCTCTCCTCGTGTTCTGGGGATGCAGTGATCATTTAGGCTGGTGTGGAATCTTTACCAGGAGTTCTTAGGTGACTTCGGGTTCCTAGATGCAGGCTGGGATCCTGAAGTAATTTACAAATCATTCTCTACGTGCAGATGTCACGGACTCCTATGAGCCTGGAGCATTTGTTTCATTTCAAGTGTGGGGAGGGCGGGGCTGAGGACGTCATGGGAATCCTCTCAGTAAATACATGTGGGTTCATGGCATTTTGGCGCTGCTCCTTTGATGTGGCTGGTTTTTGACTCAGGGTTGCAGGGACATTTGTCACAGCCTGAGAATCAGACCAAGGATCATGCGCCACAGGCCCCCAAGCCGACTGCTGGACTGAGTGCATGTGTTAAACCAGTATCTGTCTGTTTCCACTACAACATGGCTGTGTCGATGCCTGATACTTTTGTTATATCCTATGGAATTTGCCAGAACGTTTGGTGTAAATACTTATTAGTCTCACTTAAATACCAACTATGTGCCCGAGTCTAACATCAGTGGCAAAATGGCTTCAGTTGAAGCAGAAGGCTGGGGAATACAGTCTCCAGGGGATGCCGCGCATTGCCAAAGGCTGGCTGACGGATCCCTTCTCTAATTCTGAAACACACATGGCCCCCCTTCTTTTTTGGCTATTTCTTGATTTAGAGCTTCAGATGACTGGCTAGAGACGTGTTTAAAAATATCAAAAGATCCCAATGGAAACATCGAAACGTGGTCTATCCGTGTTAAAAAAGATCGTTTTGATCATTTTCCTCTGCTGTGTCGTCCAAAGAGCCTTCCTGTCTGTTTCGCTTAGTGATTAGAGGAAGTGCTATTTGTTGCTTGCTGACCAGATTGGCCCTCATCTGCTTGCTGTGAGCCGTTCTGTCCTACTTTCTGAGAGATCGTTAGTGCACACATGTCAGCTAGTCGAGGTTGGCCCCAAACGAACCAGATGAGCCACTATGGGGAGACCAAGATGCTTATATTTTGGACTAAGAGTTTCAGTTGGGTACTCTAACCAGACCAGGAAACATCATTCCTAATTTCAAAGTATTTTGGTAGCAAGTATATTAAGCAGCCTGTTATAAAAAATTAAGTAGATGTGCTTGTGTCCTTGGTCTTCAATCTGAGACTCTGGGAGCTAAGCTCAGCATCTTGCTGGGATGGAGGTGCAAATAAGTAGGTCCTTTGAGTTACGTGTCACCCTTGTCATGAACTTGATGAAGACTGTGTGTGTCCATGCTCCCTGCATGAAGGGACCACAGACGCCGGTGCTATGGCAGGCCCCTAACATACATTGTAATGTTCATTTCCACAAGCGAGGCATCAAGGCCTTCTTTCTACACACCACACAGCTTGCAAGCGATGGAGGCACGATTTGAATCCCACGTTCCCTGTTTACAAAACCCACGCTATTTCTATTACAACCAGTGATTCTAAACCACAGGTTTGCAGATTGATAATGGTCCCCAAAGAAAGCTTTTCCAGTCTGTGGTGAGAACGTCGGGATAAGGCTTACACCCTCCCATCTTGGAAGGTGTTGCCATTTAGTCGGAGACTGTGACCCATCTTTCTAGGTGTTAAAGATGGCTAAAAAATTTGTAATCACATGATGGTGATTGGAAATGGCAGCTGACAAAAGTGTCTTAAGTTGTCAAAGTAAAAAAAAAAAAAAAAAAAAAGGCCTTTCTATGTCAAACTCCAAGCTTAAATTTGAAATCTTATTGGCCTGGCAAATGGCAAAGCTGGAAAAAGAGGTAGGGTGCTTACTACCCCATCAAGGGTTCCATTGCAGACCCTCACCGTGGTTTGGGTTCACATGGGGTTTATCTGGAAAAGGGCTGGGCTGCCTTGAAGGATGAAGGGATCATGTGCTTCTTAAAGCCATCCTTCTTGGACGCTATGTAGCATGATGCGGGCAGCTTAGCGCAGCCCTGCTTGGCCTACCCACACTGATGACTTTGGCATGACCAGGATGGGGAAGACTTGAGCTCAGAGGCATTTTAATGTGGCAAGATTTAGGTCATGACTCCTCTGACCTCAGATCTGATTCAGATCATTCAACATCACCTCTTTGCCATTGATCCAAGAATGGAAGAGCTCAGGTTTTGGAGGCAGTCATATCTGGGTTTATATCTCCATTTCTTATAAACTGTGACCCTGAGGAAGTTACTTTCTGGAAAACAGGGCAGAGATTCTTGCCTCTCAGAGTTACTGTGGTGGGCAACTCTTAGACAAAATCCTTACCACTGCTTGTGGTATGTCTTTTTAAAAAATATTTTATTTTTTTAATTGAGACAGACGGTGGGCGGGGGGGAAGAGGAGGGACAGAAGGAGTGGGAGAAGCAGACTACCCACTGAGCAGGGAGTGGGCCGCAGGGTTTGATGCCAGGACCCTGAGATCATGATATGAGCCAAAGGCAGACGCTTAACCTACTGAGCCTCCCGGGAGCCCCCTGCTGGTATGCCTTTTGTTTACCATGATGATCCAAGATGGTAGGGATAGATGTGCCCGGCAAGTGGGTGTTCAGTGTGTCCTGGTGTCCTGCTTACAGGCCAACTGTAATTCAGAGTACCCTGAGTTGCTCTGGTTTTTATTTTCCTACCCCTGGTTCCAGATACCCCGCTGTGTCTGGGGGGAAGGCCTGTTTCACCTGCTATTGCCCGAGCGCCTCTGACTGTATCTGGGTGGCACCCAGTGAGCTCTCACCACTCCTTGTGCTTCCATTGCAGTGCCAACAACATGCCCAAGCAGGTGGAAGTCCGAATGCACGACAACCATCTCAGCTCGGAGGAGCCCAAGCAGCGACACCTCGGCCTACGTCTGTGTGACAAGCTGGGGAAGAATCTCCTGCTCACGCTGACCGTGTTTGGTAGGTGACGGGGGCCTTCCCTCCTCCCTGTCTCTCTCCTGGCTCTGGGTGGAAGCTGGGTCGCACAGCCAGCCCTGCTGCAGGATGAAAGCCTCATGCCTTCCCTAAGGCCTCCTTTGCCCAGGCACAGCTGCCTTGATGGCATAATGGTCCCCTCACCTGCCCCAGCCATGCATTTTTCTTCCTTGGGATTCTAGTGGTCCTTACAACTTCCCATGAGTACATTAACACACAGATTCCCAGCCCTGCACATGGAGACTTTGGGCCATCTGCCGTGAGGTCTTGGAATCTGTGTCTTAACAGACCTTCTAGGTTATTCCTAAGCAGATGGTCGGCAGAGCACATTTAGAGGAATACCTGCCTGAAGATAAAGGCAGCTGGTGCTGAAAACCCCATGAAGGGGGCTCCTGAGGTCTAGCCTATAAACACCCCATTACCTTAGATTAGTCTAGCATGTTAGTGAATGAGGTCAGGCTGGAAGAGGATTCTCCTCCAAATTCTGATTCCTCTGCCTCAGACCTCGCCTGGGCTGTGGTTGTCCTTTGGTGTGACTGTTGACACAACCTTCATCTTGGGTTTTCAACCAGGGTTTGTTGAAAAGCAGGCAAGTTGCCCGGTCTTGAAATGACAACCACACCATTTCCTCTCTTCATCCCACCTTGTTCTTCAGCTCTCTCCTAGGCTACACACAGAAGCAATGAACAACTCCTCATCTCCAACCCTTTCCCCACTCAGCAACCTGGCTTCTCCTCCTCTGAGTCTATCATCCTGGACATCAGTGGACCTGGGTCAGAACTGCAGGCTTGCCACAGTTCAGTTCACTTAATGAAAGAAGACAGAAGTGTGGTAGGGGTTTCCAAAGCTTACCTTCCACATAAAGAGATTTCACTCCTCGTAGGTCATCAAGAAGTATGTTTTCCTCCTGCAAAAGTAAAAAAAAAAGATCAGGCTTTTGACCACAGTGCTCCCTGCACACCCCTGGAGTTAACACCCCAGTTCATGGACCTAGGAACTACCCCCTCCCTCTCAGCTAGTTGTGCTATGTCTGACCTGATTTGTGGTTTCTACAAGATCTTTGATATCGGCTGCCTGTTTGCAGATACCTGGTTTGTCTTGTGGAATCCCCGAGTATGCAAAGTGAAAGGCTCCCACCAGCAACTCTGCCCACATTGTTTCTTCCCAAATTATACACTTTGAGAGACGCCCCCTAATCTCCCATAAAAGTCTCCCACAAAGGCGAGTCTAGAGATTATGTAAAAGAACATAGAAGTCAAGGACAAAACTTCTTAAGGATGAACCAAGGGGAAATCTTTGGGAGCCAAAGAAAGTAGAAGGAGAAAGGGAACTCACAACCAGCTTGGTAGATCAAACGTTCCTTTTATCTGGTATGCAGTTAGAATACATGAAGCGCCATGCCACTGGCCAGGCTGAGGCTGGGAGAAGGGGAAGCAGTATCTGGCAGTATGTGAGGGATTATTTCTGCTGCTGATCTCTGAGGATACAAATGAACAGTATCCTCAAAGAAGTTAGTCAAGTCAAGGAGAGAAGGACCTCCTAGACCCTCCCAGTGCTGCTTGTCAGAATAGACAGAGGTACACAATATTCTCTCCCTAGTCATTAAAATCAACTTGACTTATATAATGGTATTTTCGTAACGTGTTATTCATCATCCAATAACAGAGAGGTATGAGAAAGGTCAATGTGACTGAATCCCTAGAGCTATTCATTTGACTCAGGCAAAACATGAACTCAGATATTCCCCCCTTCTCCCTTCTAGGTGTCATCCTGGGGGCAGTGTGTGGAGGCCTTCTTCGCTTGGCATCTCCTCTCCACCCTGATGTGGTCATGTTAATAGCCTTTCCAGGGGATATACTCATGAGGATGTTAAAAATGCTTATCCTGCCTCTCATCATCTCCAGCTTAATCACAGGTAAGACCATCTCTCTGGTGCCTGGCCACAGGGAATCACACCCATGCTCTGGCTTGTTGATGGACCATTGAATCTCAGTTTGGTGGAATGAATAATTGGGATGATCTGTGTCATTTTATTTCAGAGCCTTGGTTTTCCTGTCTCTCAAAAGGAGATTTTCGATCCTAAAAAAAAAAAAAAGTTTTCCATCTATTGGTCAGTCTGACCATTTCTCTGTCTAACAATAAAAGATGAAAGGGAAACAGCCATGTTAAAAGTGATGATAAACAAACAATAGAGGTTTTAATTTTGAATGTATACTTTTTTAATTTTCCAAATTAAACTTGGCTCAGATATTGATAAATAAAAGTAACAAATAGGAAAGGAAATTTTCTCTTAACTGTTTAACTGGGTATAGAGGGAAGTGGGTATTAAAAATAAAATAAAGATTAGATATGAAACCCTTTGAGGTTTTTGAGAAAAGCACCCTTAATGTATAGGTCATGTTTGTTTGTTTTGGGCTGAAAGAATTGTTTTATTTGAAAGAATTTGTTTGCTTCTATGGGCTTATACTGGCAGTTTTTTCCTTACCAAATATTGCTTGAATAGGGTATAAATTCATGGAGTTTAGAGACTGAGCTTGGAGTTAAGGATGAAAGCTAAGTTTTTTTGTTTTGTTTTTTTTTTTAAAGATTTTATTTATTTGACAGAGAGAGAGAGATCATGAGTAGCCAGAGAGGCAGGCAGAGAGAGAGAGGGGGAAGCAGGCTCCCTGCTGAGCAGAGAGCCCAATGCGGGGCTCAATCCCAAGACCCTGAGATCATGACCTGAGCTGGAGGCAGAGGCTTAACCCACTGAGCCACCCAGGCACCCCCAAAGCTAGGCTTTGATTGCTATTTGGGTGCCATCTGGGTGACCTTGAGAAAGCTGTCCCTCTGGACTCTCCACCTTATGAGGAAAGTGAGACCTGGAAACACCGAGAGATTCAGATGCTAAGCCTGTTTTTCCAGAGTCTCTGGTTGACCAGTGAGCCCGGTGAATGCAAGGTCTCATTATTCAGCCCAGACTGAGTGACACTGTACTGTCCTCTTAAGGCTTCTTTGCAAACCAGAGAAAATGTTCTCCGTGCCCATTTAACCGAACATAGATAGGGCAAGCTGGCCAGGAAAATGAGCATCTGTTGGCCAGAATCCGACTTTTGGTTGTAAGGAGAAGTGGCTCAAATGCGGGTCAGCTCAATTCAGGAAAGTTCATACCAATGACTTCCTCCCCCACAGCTAGGGCTACAATCTCTCTTGTCTAGTAAAAGCAGAAACTGAAACCAGGAAGTAGAAAACTAGAAGAAACAACTGGGAAAAAACCCAGTGAAGGTAGGAGTTTTTGTGACTTGGCTTGGAATTTCCTCCAGCAATCACAGGACCTCCCACAGTATAGACAAAGTCCCATCTTTGTGTTCTCTAATCCCTGCACTAGGTTGGAAGATGTAGGTCTCCACCTACATTTTGTGCTTCACCTTGAAGGAATAAGGGCTGTGCTAGATCACTAGGCTAGACTCTTGATATCAATCACCAGGCCTACCAGCTTTTCATTTTTTTTTTTAAAGTGAGGACATTAATAACAACAATGAAGTAAAAACCAGCAGGTACTAGCACCGTCACTTCATAAAGAAAAGATGTCTTAATACCAAATAAATGGGAAGGACATCATCTCGGAATTAAAAATGGAATATATTCAACTTTAACTCACTATTGCAGACTGACGAAAAGTAGTTACCGGTCAGTTTATAAACTCTGAACGAGAGAGATCAGGTTTATAAACTTGGAAGAAGAGATCGTCAACTCTCCACAGTTCTCTAGAACCTCAAAAATGTCCTTGGCGGATCAAACTGTAAACTGTAGGATTGGAATCTTCAGTAGCAGCAGCCGTAATCAACCACGAATGCATCTGAGTAATACAGAGCAGTGTTACGGGGATGCAGAGATGGGCAGTTAACAGAGACATCACAGGAGTCCTCTTTCCAATGTCTTTTCAATGCAGGGTTGTCGGGCCTGGATGCTAAAGCCAGTGGGCGCCTGGGGACGAGAGCCATGGTGTATTACATGTCCACAACCATCATTGCTGCGGTGCTGGGGGTCATCCTGGTCTTGGCGATCCACCCAGGAAATCCCAAACTCAAGAAGCAGCTGGGGCCAGGGAAGAAGAATGATGAAGTGTCCAGCCTGGATGCCTTCCTGGACCTTATTCGCAATCTCTTTCCTGAAAACCTGGTCCAGGCCTGTTTTCAACAGGTAACCCAACATTCCAATGCTATATGCCCCTTCAGCCTCCTAAGTGAGCAAGATTGTAACTTGGAGAGTGTTTCAGTGAACCAGCTCTGGGGAGTCATTTCCTTATATTTAATTACCTCTCTCTCTAGAGCTTGTTTGAGATGATTTGCAGCAGGATTTTGGGATTAAAGTTATGTTTATTTATTTATTTAGTTTTTGTTTTGTTTTGTTTTGTTATTAACCTTCTTTTTTTTTTTTTTTTTCCAGCTCACTTAACATCTCTTTGCTCTGGGATTCCCCTTTCTTACCTTTTTTTTTTTCCCCCTGTTACCTCTTTCCTTGTTTGTAGTTCCCCTCTGCATGTTGTCCAAAGACACATTTAAAAAAAATTATTTATTTATATGACAGACAGAGATCACAAGTAGGCAGAGAGGCGGGCAGAGTGTTGGGGGGAAGCAGGCTCCCTGCTGAGCAGAGAGCCCGATGCAGGGCTCGATCCCAGGACCCTGAGACCATGACCTGAGCCAAAGGCAGAGGCTTTAACCCACTGAGCCACCCAGGCACCCCTCAAAGACGCATTTTTATCACTTTTGCTCACAACACTCTAGAATGCCGAGTGGGTCTCAGTGTTGGTAGTATAGCAAAACTGCAAGGGGTAGATTTAAAAAATACACATGACCTACAGAGTCAGAATCTCTAGTGTGGGCCCAGGGAATGGGTATTTTTCAAATTGTGGAAGTAATACACGAGGGTTGTAAAAAGTTTAAACAGTCTAGACGCACGTAAGGAGTCAAGTCCTCACTTCTGGTCCTTAGAACTAGTTATGCTGGGAATTTTGTTTCCTCCTGAATATATAGTATGATGTGTGCAACATCTTTTTTTTTTTTTTAAGATTTATTTATTGTAGAGCAAGAGAGAGCAGGAGAGAGTGAGAGAGCGTGTGCGAGCACAGGGAGGGCAGAGGGGGAGAGAGACACCAGCAGACTCTGTGCTGAGCTCGAAGTCCAACATGCGAATGGATCTTACAACCCCGAGATCATGACCTGAGCCCAGACAAGGGTCAGATACTCAACTGCATATATGCATAATCTTAAAAAAAAAAAAAATCCACCCGAGGGAACTGCATTACCCATGCCGCATTACACTTGCTTTTTATTTAACGAGGTTTAGCATTATCTCTCTCTCTCTTTTCATGACTGTGTAGTATATCTAAAAAATAAATTCTTGGGCACTTATGTCTTGCCAAAGAGTTTCATATTTCAGATTTGCTGGATGTTGCAAAATGGCTCTACAAAAGTTTGTACTAATGTCTATTCCCACCAAGTGCATACAGGAAGATCAATTTTTTAAAGCATTATGATTCTTAAAAAATGGATGATTCTGCTGAGCGGAGCCACTGTGAGAGCCGCCAAGGCCCCACTCACCAGTCTGTTGTCTAGCCCCAAGGTCAGGTTAGGTTAGAATATACTCCAGTTCCCAGTAACCGAGGGAGCAAGTCAACTAGAACCAAAGACCCTCCTTCAGTCATTTCCGGGAAAGTGCAGAAAAATGAACTCAACAAAGAGGCAGCCTGGAGGAATAGTTTGCCTTCCCAGCTGCCCCGAAAATACTGTTGCCAATCACTGGGGAGCCCAAATGACTCTGGGTTAGGATGTGTTCTCTGATTTCTGATGCCAGTCTGCTGGCACCATAGCATGGCACTATGTTAAAGAAACGCATTTCCCGGATAAAGAAGATGTGTATAGGGGCGCCTGGGTAGCTCAGTTGGTTAAGCGTCTGCCTTCGGCTCAGGTCATGATCCCAGGGTTCTGGGATCAAGTCCAGCATCGGACTTCCTGCTCGATGGGGAGTCTCCTTCTCTCTCTCCCACAGCCCTGCTTGTGCTCTTTTGCTCACTTGCTCTCTCTCTCTGATAAATAAATAAATAAAATTAAAAAGAAAAGAAGATATGTGTATATATACACAATGGAATATTACTCAGCCTTCAAAAAGAATGAGATGTTGCCATTTGTAACAACATGAATGGACCTGGAGGGTATGATGCTAAGGGAAATCAATCAGAGAAAGACAAATACCATATGATTTCACTTATAGGTGCAATCTAAAAAACAAGACAAACAAATAAACAAACAAGCAAAAAGCAGAAGCAGACTTATAAATACAGAGAACAAACCGATGGTTGGTAGAGGGAAGGGGATGGACAACATGGGCCGAGGGGAGACAGATACATAGGCTTCCAGTTAATGGACTGAGCAAGTCACAGGGATGAAGGGCACAGTGGAGGGAATAGAGTCAGTGCTACTGTAGTAGAGTTGTGTGGTGATGGAGGGCAGCTGCCCTTGGGGTGAGCATGGTCTAACGGACCGACTTGTCTGGTCACTATGTTGTATACCTGAAACTAAAGTAATCTTGTTGTCAGCTCTACTCCAGTAAAAAACAAAAATAAAATAAAATTTAAGAAAACAATAAAAAGCAAAACCAAAAGTTTCCATTAAAAAAAAAATACTGATTGGTTAAAGCCTCTGCCTTCGGCTCAGGTCATGGTCCCAGGGTCCTGGGATAGAGCTCCTCTCTGCTCAGCAGGGAGCCTGCTTCCTCCTCTCTCTCTGCCTGCCTCTCTGCCTACTTGTGATCTCTGTCTGTCACATAAATAAATAAAATCTATAAATAATAAATAAATAAATAAATAAATAAATAAATAATGATGATGACTAAAGTAAAAGAAATCATTTCAGCCCAGGAGGTTGGCTGGGAAGGGAAGAGCAGCAGCAGAGGAAGGGTGCTTTCTGGCACTCCCTCTGTAGAGTGGACTTGGACCTCTGCCAGCCCACTTAGAAAGATGCATTCTCCTGCTTTGGAGAGCGAGATGTAAGCGGGTGCCCCGTCTGTTGTTAACATTCTGAAAAGAGCACTGTGGAAGTGTTGCTGTGGAACTGGGGAGGTAGGGATCGGGGCTTCCTTCTTGGGCCCTGTCGTGTCCATGTTCCATACAAGGACACCCCCTTTGGTGCCCTCGACAGGGGAGTATTGAAGTAGGCATGCCCCTGGAGCTGTTGCTCTGGGCTGCGGTGAGCCGTGCTCGCACTCAGTGACCTGTCTGGTCAGTAGGCGGTCTCAGCTTGGAGCTGTCCGCTGCAGGACCACTGAGGGCTGAGCTGTTCCCCTCCCTGCCCCCTCCTGCGACACCCCCTCCCTGCCCCCGCTGGGAACATTCATGAGGAATGAACCCTTCGTCCCCCAGCAAAGCCCAGGGTCACTGTCCCTTTGGAGTTAGGATAATCAGAGGAAAAATTCAGTAGAATTTTTTTAAATGATTTATTTATTTTAGAGAGAGAGAGAGCAGGAGCAGGAGGGGCAGAAGGAGAGGGAGAGAGAATCTCAAGCAGACTCCCACGCTGAGTGCAAAGACCCACACAAGGCTCCATCTCATGACCCTGAGATCATGGCCTGAACCAAAACCCGAGTCGGATGCTTACCTGACTGTACCACCTGGGCACCCTGTGTAGGTCATTCATCTACCTCAGGGCAAGGGAGCATGCAGATTCCTTAAGCTGGACTTCAGGCAGCCTAGAGGAAAGGGGTCTTAAACAAGGAACCATCCAGGGACTCAGGAGGACCTCGAAGAGGACCCAGAGAAAGGGAATCATCATACGGTGACATTGCAATGCCAGAGAGAAATGGTGCCTGAGGGGTGCCTTCTGTGCCCTTGGGATACAGCTGGAAGTGATGAAGAAAAGCCCGTCTTGGGTGTGGGGGGCCTTCACGATCAGAGTTAGACACAGGGGTGGAAAGAGGAAGGTGCACATCCCCAGAGCAGAGGCTGCCTTCCCCCAGGTGGCAGGCCCCGTGTCTTACAGAGCAGGGAGGTGACCCAAGCCGAGGTTTCCAGGACAGCAATGGGCAGTCAGTTGCGGCCAGACCACAGGAATCCAACCCAGTGACAGGGACTATGTGGGTTTTCTCTTCCTGGGAATCCAGTTCACTCATCTACTCCGCACTTGTGGGCACCTCCTGGGTGCCAGGCTCCCTACTATGCAGGGGACGCCACGGGCAACGAGACACTCTGGGTCCCTGCCCAGGGGACCTTACATTCAGGGAGTGGGGAACACAGACCAGAACAAACATCACGTACATACACAAGCTATTAAAAAAATTAAGGTAAGTGCTCTCTGAGCACCGGAGGCAGGATGAGGTGCTCTGCAGTAACTGTGAGAGACACCTGAGCTGAAAGAGTGAGGGACAAACTGAGCTAGGCTGAGGATGGGGCGGAGCTGCTGGGGACTGGGGGCGGAGCCTGTCCAGAGGTGTTGCCCTCAGAGAGAAGGAAGGACAGTGTGTGGGAGGTAGAGTGAGCTGGGCGAAGCAAAGCCCAGCTCAGCCAGGACCTGGTAGGCCACGGCCAGTCTCAGGAACTTATTCTAAGAGAGTTTTAGGCACAGGGAGACACTGTTTTTCTATTTTTAAGAAATCAACCCGGCAGCTTTAGATGTAGACAGAGCTCTGGGGAGCTGGACTTACCTGGTGTTTGCAGGTAGACTAGAAGGCTGGTGGGAATAGCAGTGAGCAGGCTTTTCCACGTTCTAAGGTGAGAGACCCTGGTGGTTTGGACTTGGGTAGACTGGAGTTGGCACCTAGATGGCGCTGTCCAACCCAGGTAGGCCCAGATCAAGAACTCCGGCAGAAACCAGGCCCATGTTCCTGTATCCCTAGCAACTTGCCTGAAACTTAAGCCACTGGACTGTGCTGTTTAGAAGCTGATTTTGGAGTCAGACATGCTTCACCCTGAATCCCGCTTCAGCAACTAGCTATCTGTCTGCCCTGCAGGTAGTTAGCCCTGGAGCCTTGAGGGGTTACTGTTGACAGAAGAGATGATAGATGGCAGGTGCACACTTGACCCTGAGAGCCACTGTTTATTTACCACCAGGGCCACTAGTCTTTTGAACTCAAGGCTTGGCTTCTTTAATATTCCAAGGACAGGTCCCCAGTTGGCTTCTGGTCTTCCCATTTCCCCTGGGAGCGTAACTCTCTTGCTCCCAGAAGCCTCCCTTTGGATGGTTCCTGTGTTCTTTCTTCATGCTGACATTGCCCAGGTCAAGGGGACCATGAGCTTCCTGTTCTCCCCTTGCACACTCAGGCTGAGCTTCCTCCCTCCCTGCACAGGTGCAGGTGGTCAGGCTAGAACAGAGCATATCCTGCTTTTCTCCCACTTTGGACAATGGTCAGTTTGGCATTGCTCACCGTTTGGCCCCGCCACAGTGAACTGGGACCGTGGAGCTTAGGGAATAGAAGAATTCAGTGGTGCTCAGGCACTCTGAGTTCAGGTCCCAGTTCTGCCAAGAGCTCTATTGATTGACAAGTCATTTGAGTTCCCCATGCCTCCCCTTCCGTATCTATTCAGGGTTCAGCCATCTGTTGTCTACTATATACCAGCACTGACATTCTAGGATTCTGCATGAGTTCTATTTTAATACTCTTGGAGGTATTGTTTCTCGGGGCTCCGATGTGAATTTTCACAGCACTCTGCATGCAGGGTGCCTGGCACCTTTAAAAATAGAATGGATGTCACAGATGTCGAGGAATAGCATGAGAGGTTCTTGGGAGGCCATTTCCACGGAGATCCTTGGGAAACATTGAGCAAGGCTTGGCATCACTGTCTAGAAGGAGTGGGTGTCTTCTTTCCTTACATTTTGATCTGAAATATAAGCCAACATCCCTGTCATTGTAGCTGCTGTCTGCTAGTACATCTGGTGATCAGATGGAGATGCTCAGCAGAGCATGATTCTGGAAGGAGCCCAAATGAGTGGGTCTGTGAAGACTCTGCCAGACAGGAACCAGAGAGGAAGGAGCAAAGCAGGTGGACCATGAGGCCTCATCTGATCCCTGCATAGACCCTTACTCTCCTACTCTTGACCAGATCCAAGGCCCCTCCCAAGGGGCAAGAAGGGTCATCCAATTAGTTTCGCCATTATGAAGAGCATCCATGTTGGATGTCGGATGTTGTCTCCAAGATGCAGGGCTACCATCATGGGAATGTAAGAAGTAGACGTCTGTCCCCCACCTTGAAGTGTGCGTCCCATTACTGGATCACACCACATTACAAATGAAAGTTATAAATCCTGTAATTATCATGTGATGAGAATAATCATTTCCCACTATATTTGTGTCATAAAATGTCACTTTGTTAAACACAGACATATAAAATATTCCCCAACCTTTGTAACCTTGTTTTGACAGTTCTTAATTATTTTTTCACATACTGGGAACTTTATAAACATGTAAGTGGCTAGACTTTGGGTGATAAACCTCTCACGTTTCTATTTTCCCCCACTCCGTTAGATTCAAACGGTGACCAAGAAAGTCTTGGTGCCGCCTCCATCAGATGAGGAGGGCAATGCCACCAATGCTGTAATCTCCTTGTTGAATGAGACTGTGACAGAGGCACCTGAGGAAGCGAAGGTGGTTATCAAGAAGGGCCTGGAGTTCAAGGACGGCATGAATGTCTTAGGTAGGCAACCTGGTGTTCATCGCAGGGGGAGACGATGGCCAGCCCTTCCTGCTTCTCAGCACCCAGCAGCCCTGCCTCCCTTCTCAGAAAACCTGTCGCTGGTATTCTGTAGGTGGAGCAGGAGGCTCTCTCTAGAGAGAAAGTTGAGGGTCATGGAGACTGATAGTTGAGACATTAAGGAAGAAAGAGAGGGCAAGCAGGACCATGAGGGAACATGGCAGCTAGAGGTTGGTTGTGGAAAAAGAGGGCACTAACATTCATTGGACACATTCCCTGACTTTCTGTGTGGTGTTGACAAATAACTTTCTCTGTCTATTTCATGAAGTTACACATCCGATTTTTTCATTTTTTAAGCTTTCGTATTATATTATTTTTTGAGCTGTCCTTGGGTGTTAATGCTGTGCTAGGCACAGGGGCAGCCCACCCCGGCTTTCACATTCTTGAAACAAACACAATGCTATCAGGAGTGTAAAGTGTTGGTGTTGGTGCCCCAAAGGAGCTTATCCAAAGGAAATGGCTTTGTTTAATTTTTTGGGATTCCAATGAGCCCTTTTCCCCTAATCTGGAGCCTTCCTAGCCTTCCATGGTGTTGGGTCTTTGGCTTGGCAAGCAGACCAGGTTTGGATCCCTTATGGACCACTCACGGGTGAGCTGACAGTGGCTGAGTTGCTCTGCTTCTCAAGCTTCATGTGTAAAGTGGGGTTGGGATTGCCATTTCTCTGGTAGATCATTATGAGTATTAAATGAGATTGCACCCGTGAGGCATAGTAGCCTATGCCTCGTGCTCTGCTGGTGCAGGCTTTACGGTCGCTATCCAAGGTGGATGGAGAGCTGAGGAGCTCAATAAGAAAACAGCTCATAGAGAATGAAGACTCCCATCGCATGGGTGACTCCCATTTGCTCAGTTTACTCCCTATCCACCCCCTGGGTCCACCCTCTAACCTACCCCACACCCACTGTTAAACTGATGTTCCCTACAAAAGAAAGAGGGACATTTGGCCCTAAGCTGGGAGAAACAGGGAAGCTAGGCGGGAGAAATAGATTGATCCATGCAAGCAAGATTTCTAAGGATTTGAGGGATTGCTGGCTAGAAGGGGATCAGCTCAATGATCCTTCCACTTTACCATCTAGGAGATCAAATGCCCTTGTCTCCTTAGTAGGGTTGTCAAAGAAAAGACTGGACGCCCAGTTAGGTGTGAATTCCAGGTGAACAACAAATGACTTTTTTAGTGTAGGGTATGTCCCAAATATTGCAAGGGACATACTTATACTAAAATAAAATATATTCATTCTTTATCTGAAATCCACATTTTAACTGGGTATCCTATTTGTTTGTTTGTTCTAAACTTGCTCACCTGACACCTACCTTACCCAGAATGGTTGAGAGAAAGAGGTAGAGAAGAAGGAGGATTGTCTAGGCACTGAAAAGCAGAAGCTTCAGTAGGGATCTTCTTAGTTTGGCCTGGCGGGAAGCAGGTTCAGTAGTGAGAGCATGGAGGAGAGGCAATGGAAGATCAATAAACATTGTTGACAGTCAGTGTGAGGTGACAGGAGGAAAGAGAGAGGACAGAGAGGGTGAGTTCCTCTGGGGAGAGCTTGCAAATACCCTCAGATCCACCCCAGATCCACCCCTTCTTGCCCAATGCCAGATATGTGTGATCCTTTCAGGACCTTCCCAACCATACTCTGTCCCTGAAGGCCCATGGGCAAAGTGAACCCACAGTCCATTACATATTCTGGAGGAGGTTAAGGCCATGAGTCATGAGGCCAAAACTTTGGGGTGAATCATTCAGAAGACTTTCATGGTCGTTTCCAGATTCTCAGTGGATTCTGGGAAGTCCTGTTGACCCTGGGCTGTACTGGGGAGTTTCAACACAACTCACTACTCTCTCAGCCCCAGTGATCCAGTCTAAGGGGGCTTTGTTCAAGCAAAACATCCCAGTTCCAGTAAGTGACTTTAGTGAGGTGATGTTGACAGAGGGAAGTGACATGGAAGCTGGACATGGGTGGGCAGCAGCAGACGGAGCTCTGGAAAGCCAAGGGAAGTTAGACTGTTGAGAAACTTCCCATGTACAAATCCCTTGGTCTTCTAAGGGTGGAGAAGGTGGCTTTTGTTTTGTTTTGGAAAGTCCCAATGATCAGGCATTGCAGTAAGTGAAGACAAAACCTTGGTTCTGGGCTCCCTCTTATTGAAGTACTCATTTCTCTCCCCAGTAACCTCCAGACCACTTCTGAGCTCTCTCCTTTAACCCCAACCATTAAATCAATTCCTGGCAGAGTTTGCTCCTTCCAACTTCTCTCTCTTAGTGATAGATGTGGCCCAATTTCTTCTGACTCCGCAAGGGGAACTTTTTTCTGCCAGCTTTTTGAGATTTTGAGACCTTGAGTTTTTTCTCTTAAAATCTCCAAATGAAATTAACTGGGTAATACTAGCTCTTCTCAGCCAGAATGTTCACAGATTATTTCTCACTACACACCTAGCAAACTCTTCTCCATGTGCTTGAGAGAAGGGCTTGGGAATAGCCCAAATTTGGTTCCATACGTGATGGGAGAGCTAGACCACTCTTCCCTGATCACTAAATTTCATGAAGCCAGTCTCTGTGGCCAATAACTCACTTGTAAGGCCCTTGCTGGTCTTTCTGGCTGAGATCTGAAAAGGAGAAGTATTCACTACTGGGGATTAACAATCCTGGGTACACGTGCTGGGTTCTTTTTGGTAAAGAGAGAGGCTCCAATGAAGGATAGTTGCACAGTCTGAGTTGATATGTGCTTGGTGTGGGGAAGTGAGTGGTTTTGGGGGAGCTAGGAAAAAGGTAAAGTCAAAGGTTCAGAAAAAAGAATTCCTCCCCAAGAGAATCAAACTATAATGCTATAATTTTCCCAGTATAACTCAAGACTCTGGGCAGAACTGAACACAATAGGAAACTGAATGTAATAGAGAGGACTGGCAATTAGGTCTGCCAAACTGGGTTAAGGCTGGTGTAGGGAAGAGGAAGGAAGGAGAGGGGTATAGGGGATGGGCCATACTACATTTCAGAGAAAATGTCAGATGGGTAAGCAAGGTCCTGTGGCCAAAGGGACAGTAGCATTGACTGACAGTTCATGCAAGTAGTCAGAATTGGAGCCCCAGGACTGGCAATCGTGGGTCAGGAGTGGGGTGAGGGCACAGCCTGACTGGGAATCAGAAATTCAGATAAGCAGTAATGGGGATGTCTGTAAGCCATGTTGTGCCCCAGTCCCTGGGTAGGCCTGGGTGAGACTTCAGGCTGGGGGTGAGACTCTGAGGACAAGAATGGGAAGGAATGGTGAGGGGAGGAAAACTTGTGGGGAGAGAGAAGCCAGGCCCAGCTTGGAGGAACCAAAGTATATGGTTCCCAGGACAGGTACTCAGGTGGAGGGAATGAGGCAAAGGCAATACAGAGATAAGACCCAAGTTTGGGTGTTGGAGCTGGTTTAGGACCCAGTGCAATTTGATGGGGACAGAGTTCCTCACATCCTTACAGCCTGGGTTAGGATTGCTCTTACAGGCTGTGGTGGGGCTGGATTGAGATTGAAGTCAAGTGATGTCGAGTGAAGGGAGAAGGAGGCTAAGGGGCTAGAAAGTTACAAAGTCTATATTTTGCCTTTATGATATTGCAAAAAAAAATGCAGTAAAAAAGGAAGCATTCTACCAATTTTGACCATGAAAAGAATGATGAAGAATTAATAACAAGTTAAATCCAAACGAACTGGGTCAATTGGGGTTTCCCAATTGTTTTTGATTTCTCATTGATTTCCATTTGACTTTTCAACATTCTTCCTCCTTCTCACGTTAGGCATGTAGCAGTAGAAAAATACTTTTATGCTCAGGATTTTCCTACAGTGAAACATACCAGCCATGCGTAAGTTTAGGATAACACCAAACTAACATAGACATAACCCTGGCAGGGATTTTCTTGACTAATTGGTCTCTGCTGTTCCGATGTAGGCTCCAAAGTTTGCACGATAATCCCCAAGTCCCAACAAGCCTTCCTTCATTAATCTATGGACTATGGAATCGGCTTACCCATGATTTCATAAGTGAGGAGGAGAGAGAAGAGAGCGTTTTGAGTTTGGAATGAAACTGAATTCATTTCCTCCAAGGAACTAACACCACTGACAGTTCAACTTGCTGTTGTGGGAAATGTTAGGGGATGCCATAATTATCCAGGAGAAAGGTATTTTCAGTGTGAAACCGAATGCCTGAATCACAGGGCAACAGGCAGGGGAGAAGGTGGCTCCCTATGTTGGGAATGGTGAAGGAGGGGGAAGAAACACATATTTCTAATCTGCCCTTCTGTGTAATGTGATTTCCCCCAACAGGTCTGATAGGGTTTTTCATCGCTTTTGGCATCGCCATGGGGAAGATGGGTGAGCAGGCCAAGCTGATGGTGGAATTCTTCAACATTTTGAATGAGATTGTAATGAAGTTAGTGATCATGATCATGTGGTAAGTGGGCTTGTTCTTCCTTCAGTGTGGTGGGGGTGGGGGCGTCCAGAGGTCTTGGGATCCTTGGAAGATCATGGAGCCTTCCTAGCAGGAGTGAGTGGGTGGCCATGGACCAAGCAAAGTGCTCTCCAGAAAGACTTTGAGAAAGGGATGAAAATCTCTTTCTGGGAGCTTCCCCTAGAAAATGGTTTGGAAAACTATGGCCCATCCTCAGGCCAGATCCTTTCTGCTATTCCTTTAGTGGCCTACAGGACTGGGTTTTATGTTCTTATGTTGCTGGGGGGGGGGAATAAAAAGAGTAATAATATTTCACACACATGAAAATTACATGAAATTCACATCAGGGCCCATAGATAGAGTTTTATTGGCACATGGCCACACCCTTTCATTCACATATTGTCTAGCATTACTTTATGCTGAATGCAGAGTCGAGTCGTTCTGATCAACACCGTGTAGCCTGCAAAGACCGAAGTATTTACTATTTGACCCTTCACATAAAAATTTGCCAATCCCTACAGTGGGAACACAAAAACAACAACAACAATTAAAAAGAGGGACAAGCTGAAAAAACCAACTAGTAATTCTGAAACCAGCAGTATCAGAAAACACTGAGATAAGTCCAAGATACCAGGGATGATATGGCCTGACCCAGGGTTTGTGGAAGGACCGCCACTCTAATATTCTGGCGTCCAAAAGCAATGTATCGGAGACTCTTCATTCAGACAGAAGGAAAAAGAGGCAGTTTTCAGGCCATGCAAGCAAAATGATATCACAGAGGACACATTAAAATTATAAGTACTCTTGGAAATGTGGTTCCACCCTCTAGTTGTGTAGAAGAGAAGACTGTGGTCCAGAGTGACTACGTCTTGATTGTACAATATCACGATCATTAGAAGAATAAAACTTATCAATTCTTGATTTCCTTTTATCTGTGAAGAGCCATGATAAGTGCTTAATACTTACCTATTGTAACTCCAATAACCCTGCAAAGATGGCATCATGACTCTCATTTTCCAGAAGAGGAGACTGAGGTATACTGAAGTTGAATACTTTGCTTAAGACTATGTATCGGGGCGGGGGGCGGGAGAGAAGCTGGAGTACCTATTGATTTCACAATCCTTGGTGCATAGTTGGGGGGCTTTTTTGTTTGAATTATCTAAGTAATACCATCTCTACTCCATTTCATGTAGGTTTATGGTCAGTGGTTCTGAACTCTAGGGCAGCCCAGGAGAGCAGGAACATCCATTCCTTTATGAAGGAAGCTATACCACCTTCAGAACTTTCTACTGCCCCATATCTCTCAGATGGAAAGATTTTTTTTTAAGATTTTTTATTAATTTATTTGACAGACAGAGATCACAAGTAGGCAGAGAAGCAGGCAGAGAGAGGAGGAAGCAGGCTCCCTGCTGAGCAGAGAACCCGATGCGAGGCTCGATCCCAGGACCCTGGGATCATGACCTGAACCGAAGGCAGAGGCTTTAACCCACTGAGCCACCCAGGCGCCCCTCAGATGAAAAGAATTTTACATGTGTTTGTTCCAGATCTCTATGATGGTCTGGTACACTTGCCTGGGAAAAAAAGAAAACCATTATTATATCAAGCGACATCTGTGTCCTATCTGTCACAGAAATTCTGGATTACAGATTCCCTGTCTCTGTGTGCTCCCCTGCTACCCACCTTCCCCAGTCCTCCTCTGATCTTCTTTTACTTCTGTGTGGTGCCTTCCACTAAAATTCTACCTTCTTTTTCTCTTCTTCCTCCCCTTGGCCCCTACTCCCACTTTACAAGGGCAAAAATCTGTTTTTGACTTATTTTTTTTACCTCCACAGAACCAAACATTGTGATATGCTGGTAGAAATTCTTACTGAACCCTCAGGAGTGAGTAGGCTAGCTGATGAGCCTCAGATCAAGAAGATGTGCCTCGTGATTTCATGAAACATATTTACTAGACTTGGCTTGTTTCAGATCATTGCTTTTTGTACTTTTAAAACACAAACAGGATGCCGGTAAAATTGTGTGTGTGTCGTGTTGATTTTTCAACTTCCCAGGCAATCCTAGATTTCTGAATATTTCTTTTCTATGAAAATCTAAAGTCACACACAATGTGATGCTCTAAAAAAAATATGCTTAGAAACTTTAAGATCCATCTGTGGTTGCTGAGACTTTAATAGATGATAATGCCTAAAGTAGGATATGCCTCTTGGTAGTAAACATTAGGATCTGCCCTGGTCTCCTAGAATTTTTTAGAATGAGCATCCTTGCTCTAAAAATTCAGTTCATATTTCTGTATGATAATGCCAGTGATGTGGGCCGTGTCACTTCCACTAAGCCCATGAAGAGAAGGAATCTAGGAGGTGAGGTCAGTCATGGGATGAAGGGCGTGCTCTCTTCTCCACAGGGATGAAGGGTGTGGATCAAGGTTTCCTGTTCACTGAAACCAAAACTCCTAAAGATTTACTATCAAATCCCAGGAGACGCAGAGCAATTGTGAGCCAGGGACAAGGCCTATGGAACGATTTCTGACAGCTGTTCGGTGACCTCATCTAGACAAACAGTCAGGAAGGGGTTCTACGACACAAGATGCCATTTCTACACATTTCTTTCATTCTTTAGCTGCCTTGTCAGTGCCGGATAACGATGCGTGTGGGAAGGTTTGGGGTGAAACACTCAATTACTCTTTAACTGACCCCCTCAAAGCTAAATGATCAGTTCTTGGGGATTCTTCTCTGTGTGGTAGTCAGAATAGTATAATAGCAAAATAAAACATTGGAGAGGTGGCTATTATTGTAATAGGGATTATTACTAAATTATAACTTAGAGTTATGAAATGTTTGCTATGCTCTCAACATTACCTCTTTTATTGTGCTTTACCTATATATTACTGAGGAGCTAATTATTATTATTATAATTGTCATTAAATCATAGCTAAGATTTGCCAAATTCCTGCTATATGCTGAATACTGTTCCACTTGCTTTATGAGCATTAACTGACTTAATTGTCTCAGTAATACCTAGCAGAAATAGGTAGTTTTATTAGCCCCATTTTCCAGATGTGAAAACTAAGCACAGAGTTTAACTTGCCCAGTGTTGCACAGTGCCTTATTAACTAATTAATTAATTGTATGGCACCTTATTCAGCTTCTATCTGACTTCACACCAGAGTGAATCCAGGACACTCTGGTTACTAACTGTGTGATTCTATATGGGTTAGACAGTTCCTAAACTCCACGTCAGAATGGATTGATCATAGAATCAACCTCCTAGGGTTGCTGTGAGAATTAAATGAAATTGAGACCAACAGTTACAAAGCATTTCTTATGTGCTGGGACCTGCCTAAATGTTGTCTATGAACCAGTATTATCATTGCAGTTATTTTGTGATTATCATTACTGTTATCATTCAATCCATATCCTCTGTTTCTCTGTGTTCATGGATTCTTCAAGAAGCCTAAAAGGTCCTATGATTCACCAAAAAAAAGAGAGAAAAACCCTTAATTTCAGTATGATTTTCATATCCTCATTTTTTGCAAATTTCTTTAAAACATTTTTTTCAAATCTGAAAATCTAAACAGAAAGTAAAACTTTGCATACTCTCGCCACTGTAGAAACACAAGGCAAGAAGTGAGATCTCTTCATTCTTTCAATTTTCCCTCCCTGTTAACCTACCACCACCACCACCCATCCATCCATCCATCCATCCATGCATCCAACTGTCCATTCATCCATCCAATCATCCATCCATCCATCCATCCCTGCTTTCAATCCACAAATATATTTTGAGCCCCTCTTCTATGCCAATAATAATTTTAGGTGCCGGTGATAGAATGGTGAATGAGAGAGAAAAATTCTGGCCCTCATGGAGCCTACATTCTTTTGGAAAAGGAGAAGGATTAAAGGAATAAAAGGAAACAAATTAGAATTCAGACAGTAATCTCTGCTACAAAGTCAGTAACCAGGACAGTGGGACCGAGAGTGATGGGGGATGGAAATATGCCTTAGACTTGATCCAGAGGACCCAGGAGGGCTGTCTGGGGAAGTGACTTTTGAGGAAGACCTGAAGAATGAAAAGAGGTTGCTCTGTGAAGAACCAACAGGAGAATTTTCCAGGGGGAGGAAATAGCAGATAAAGGGTTTTCAAGAGTCAGAATGAAGATCAGGGGTAGCTGTAATGTGGTTGGTTGGTGAGGAGGTAGAAAGCTGTGAAGTTGGGGAGGTGAGCAAGAGGCAGATCCCATAGGGCCTTGTAGGCTACCATGATGAGTTGGGGTTTATTGACTTGAAAAATGAAGTCCTTAGGAGGCTACAAGCCTGGAGGCTCTCCATACTGATTTTCAGCCTATCCTGATAAAAATTTCTAATCCACACAAAGTAACTCTGAGCACAGTCACTCCTTGGATAGTCAGGACATCTGTCTAGATCTAAGTAGACTGGGAAAAATGGAGAGTTGTGTTACTTTTTGAGCCTGAATACAGACAACACCCTTGGGTAATTCTTAGAATGTATATTTAGCTCTCTGTTGACAGACTCTCCCATTTCTTAGCTCTCCTGGGTTCTGTCCCAAACCGGAAGGCTAGTGTTGCTATTGGAAACCAATAGCAGTGTGGGACAGAACCAGAGTGGCTTTATGGCAAGCCTGAGAAAGTCCCTCCACTAATTTCCATCTAAGTGTCTGATCCACCATTGGTCCTATGACTCAGAGTCCTGAATTATTTACCTTAATGGGTTAAGACTAAAGGTCTTGAATCAGTTGGAGCTAATGGAAGTGGTTTCCAGAGGCTAACCAAGTAATACCTGCATTTCATCGGTTGTAGAGCAGATTTTAGCCCTTGAAACACTGGTTTCCAAACACATCAGGAATTACCTGGAACTTGTTTAAAATATAAATGCCCCCTAGGTCAGCTCCAGGAAATTCTAACTCAGCCGATATGTGGTGGGCCTGGGGAATCCACGTTGATACCAGGCAGGCCAACTTGATTGTGAAGTTGGTGTCTATGAACGTACAGAGACACTGAGGTCTGGGCATGTTAAATTCTATATATGAGTTTGTGTTTGTGGAGTGGAGGGCAGTCTTGGCAAGGGCAACTTGGTGGGAGGGAACCTGAAGATGACAAGAGCAGAGGTACCAAGTGGATGGAGGAAAGAATGGTTGATGCAACAGGAAGAAAAAGACTTGACGGGCCAGTCTTAGATTAATCAGTGGCTTTGACCACAGTGCCCAGAGCTGCAGATACAAGCAACCCAACGACAGTGTGGTAGATATTTTCTCTTCCTGCTCTGCAGTCATGTCCTTCTAATTCAGAAGTGGGTCCAGCTATTCCTGGGTACCATTTGGCTTCAGAAACTTACTGGAGCCCTCAGTCTCTTCATGCACTTTGGTTTATGGCTTTGATTGCTTGTTTCATCTCAGGAGCTTTGTGTGGTGACCTCGAATCCCGTGCATTTGCCCTTTCTTTTCCATGGGGTGTCATTTTCTTTCTTTTTTTTAAAATTTTTTAAATTAGTGTAATTATTTTTTTTAAAGAATTTATTTATTTATTTGACAGACAGTGATCACAAGCAGGCAGAGAGGCAGAGAGAGAGATAGGAGGAAGCAGGCTCCCTGCTGAGCAGAGAGCCCGATGCGGGGCTCGATCCCAGGACCTGGAGATCATGACCCGAGCCGAAGTCAGAGGCTTTAACCCACTGAGCCACCCAGGTGCCCCTGGGGTGTCATTTTCAATGAGATAATTATGTAGAAACCCAGGAGCTCAGAAACTCCAGCTCCTGAGTGGAAGATTAAGCCACTCATTTTGAACACAGGTGCAGGGAAGTAATGACTCTAGAAGACACCATTGAGGACAAAGGCTCTTTCCTTCTTCGAGTTAATGCTCATTCCTGTTCTGGAGACCAAGGTGTTTCATTCCTGCTCACCATATTTATTTGCCCTGATACTCTACCTTCTGGCCTTTGAGTAACATTCTTCATTGACCTTGGAAACTCACGTTTCTCCTAGTGAGCTGAGTGCTCCAGAGGAAACATGTTTCCTCTCTCTGATCTGTTTGGCTCTGGCTCAAATGTGTTCTCCAGGGGGACTAGATAGCTGGTCTTGCTTGGCAAAGTGCCTTGAAAATCCTTTTTCTCCATTCTGCAAATTGCGTGTCCCAGAAGAGCAGGGAAATCGAATGTCACCCAGAACAGCTCATGTTTGTGTTTTTCTGGACATCTTTAAAGGGTGGTTGGTGCTTGGGAAAGAATTGATCTCGTGGCTTATGAAGATAAATGCTTGTTGGTTTTATGGGAAAGTGCATTGTGCTCAGTTACTTACAACTTCCTGGCACAAAGGCCTGGCCTCTGAGACAACCCCACTCATCTAAGAGATGTTGTGACCATGGGTGCATCAGGAGAGTGTAAAATGGTGAGAAATTCAAGGGTTTAAGGACTTAGCTCCTTCATGCCTGCAGAAACAGCCCTCCAACATTGCCAGCCTTCTTGCCAGCCTTCACCCACGGGAAAGATGTGGAGGCTACAGGCTGGATACTCATCAGGGAAGAGTTATTCTAAGGTTTTCACTAATTCTTGTCATTTACCAATCAGCTCTTTCAGAAGGTTCCTCTTGACAAAATATTTTGCTCATAAAAACATCTGCCATTGGATGGCAGTAGTCTATGCGTGGGTTTAGAAAGCCACATTAACTCAGACTTGGCTCTTTAAGAATGGTGGAGGAGAGGACATGGTGTACATGTGCGACCGCAGAATGTAGAGGATTCCTTGGTCAGCAGTCAGACTGGTGCTCACAGGGATGGGGGCGGGACTTTGACAGGGCACACATATGCATGCTCAAATATGCAGTCCTCACAGCATCCCATGAGGTTGGAGTTAGCCTAAGCTTTGACTTGCACATCTATAAAATGGGACTAAATCACTACAAGGTCATGTGGCTGGGCAAGCTTCATGTCTTACGTAATTGTATATATAATTCTCCTCTGCCCACCTCTTTTTTTTTTAAGATTTTATTTATTTATTTGACACACACAGAGAGAGAGAACACAAGCAGGGGAAACAACAGACAGAAGGAGAGGGAAAAACAGGCTCCCCACTGAGCAGGGAGCCTGATGCGGGGTTCAATCCCAGGGCACTGGAATCAGGACCTGAGCCGAAGGCAGACACTTAACCAACTGAGCCACCCCAGGAACTTCTACCCACATCTTTTTTTACCCAGGAAAGGCACAATTGCAAAAAACAAAAACATAAACAACAGATAAACAAAAAACAACCAGCAAATCTGGCTGGGCGGTCTGTCTCCCTTTGCTGACTCCATTACCTCAGCAGGGGGACCTTATCTTGGGACTTCATTTCCCCAGTCTTTTTCTCAAATACGTTCATAATTCTTACTAAAGTATCAACTTCCCCCTCAAACATTTTCTTTCCAGTCGGAAGGTGTTGCAGGCCGAACCAGTTTCTGCTTCAACCACTACCAGATTGGGCAATAAAAAAAGGCTGTTGCCCAACATGGGAAAAATACACTCAAGAGGAAAGAGAGCATGGTTAGTGCCCTCACAAGTGAGGACAGCAGTAAGTTGTTTCCAAGCTCCCAATCAAACAATAATAAGATAGAAGCATGAAAGAAGTTTCCGTAGAATAAATCGGTATATGGTAAGCTGTCAGCCTATGTAGAAAGAGCTCCCATTGCTCATTAAAGGAAAGTGGTTTGGCTGGGGGAGGGGAAAACAACCCTCGGAGAGTCATAGGCACTGAGACTGTTCTCCTACTTCCTGGTTTTGTGGTCTTGGACTGGTCTTAACTTTTCTGAACCTCAATTTCCTCGTTTGCCAAATAAGAATAATGATACTTTGATTTCAGGGTTGTGGTAAAAATGAAATGAGGTGACGTGTGCAGAGGTCTGACTGTATTGCCTGAGACTCGGGGCAGGGAAGCCAGCGTCCCTGGTAAGACAAGTATGGAAAGAAATACTTTCAGACTGAGAAGTAATAAAACCACGTCTCTCTAAATGGACTCTCTGGCTCAGAGGGTTTTCTTGTCTTGGCAGGTCTCTCTTTTTTGCTCCCTCTCTGTCTCTGTCTCTCTCATATTTTAATAAGCTTCCTATCGTCCAAGGTAAAAACAAAGCAAATTTACCAACGCCAGCTTAGAGGTGGGTGAAACTCTCATGAGCTTTCTGGGGAGCTCAAAATGGATTCCTAGTTTTCAAGGACGAAGTTGCAGGGGGGGAACAGGGAGACCAAACAAGATGCTCAAAGATTCTGTGCCTCTCCAGCTTGGTGCTTACCTGGGGGATGGTAAAGCTTGTGTCTGCTCTTCCTCAAAATCACCGGACCCACTGATGAGATTTCAGATGGTGCAGTTAGTCTGAAGTGAAGGAGAGCAGCTATCGAATCTCGTGGAATTCCTCCAGCGAAACTCTTGGTCTAGAAATAGGAAGGGTTTTCCTCAGGGTGTGGTACATGTAAGGCCCAGATAGAAGTTGTGAATTCCAGAAGGATGTCTTCAATGGTTTTTTTGGTTGTTTTTCTTTTATGTTTTCCAGGTACTCTCCCCTGGGTATCGCCTGCCTAATCTGTGGGAAGATCATTGCCATCAAGGACTTGGAAGTGGTTGCTAGGCAACTGGGGATGTACATGATCACGGTGATCGTGGGCCTCATCATCCATGGGGGCATCTTTCTCCCCTTGATTTACTTTGTAGTCACCAGGAAAAACCCTTTCTCCTTTTTTGCTGGCATTTTCCAAGCTTGGATCACTGCCCTGGGTACCGCTTCCAGGTAGAGAACACAAGAAATCACCTTTCTTTCTCTCTGCTCATTCTTTTCCCCTCTCTGCCACTTCCCCTTTGCAAAACCCTTTCATCATAAAGTTCAATGGGGATGGGTTTCACGTATTATTAAAATACTTCTGAAAAAGGTAACTGTTTTGTATTTTTGGCTCCTAGGAACTCAGGAGCCTTCTGATGAACATGTTTGCTGACAAGCAACCATCCTGGAAATACTTAATATTAAATTTCCCAGATGAATGCATGCTGTTGCCTATCTAATCTGGCATATCTAGCATTGGTTTCATTTTAAATATTTTCCAAAAGGATGTATCAGGATGTTAAGCTATTTAAGAAATTCTCTGACCTGTGATTTGAAAAATGCTATCACAAAAGATCACTCCTTTGGAGTCATTTTTCAAAAGTCAAAAAAGTGAGCTTTTTCATGGCAAATGTGTTCAGTGAGATTTTCTTTTTTAAAAACCAAACCAGAAGTCAGTCAGGTATATGACTTCTGTATGAACTTCTAGTGGACCATTCTGCCCCAGTGATTTTGAGAAAATCGGGTTGGCATTGATTCAACTTGACATTGACTGAGAGTCTGTTCCTTCTTCGTTAACTAAGTTCCCAGGCATCTGAAGCCAGTGAGGACTCCAGAGATACACGGAGGAAAAAAATATATTTTTTAGATATCTTCTTAGACTGAATTTAGCAAAAACAAACAAACAAACAAAAACGGATACATAAGAAACACCTGGCAATTTAGAATTTCAAAGATTAGAAGAGTTTTATTGTTTCAGCCTGCACTAGTTACTGGTATTTCTGCACAAAACTAAGGGTCATGAAACTAAGACTGAGGCAGGTGGGAGGGAGGCAAGCCAACTCTGCAACCCCTAGCTCAGCATCGTCTCTGGAGTCACAGGTGGTAGGTCCTTGTTGTCGAGCCTGTGACCATGCTCTGCAGGTGAGACGGCCACTCTGTTGTGACGCAGCGTGACAGTTGTCCCAAGGCTACTGAGAAGGCAGTCATTTTTTCCCTACAGGTCAATAGTGGTGACCACCTGAGGAACCAAATTTATACTTCCATCTTGCACATCAATGAGATTTTGGCAGGAGTAGAGTGGAATTTCAGAAGACGCTAAAAATATATATAATTCCAGGGATCTGGATTCTGCATTCAGTTTCCCAAGATGAAGGGAAACACCCCAAATTCCTTTGTCCCTCTTGGTCTGATATATTTCATATGGATAAGTATCTCTATCCATAAAGATCCCCCTCTCTTTGGAGAAAAAGTAAAATTCTCCCCCACCAAACAATATGTTTAGTTTTATATTTGTTTTCTGGTTATGAGCGTGGTGTTTGCTCATTGTGAAAAGAAGTCAGACAGTGAATAGAGTTTTGAAGAAGAAAATGAACATTACCAGTTCTTCTATTGCCCAGGAGTAATTAATAGTAACCCTTTTAGTTAATCTTAATAGTTCTGTATTTTTCCAGTTTGTACCATGTATAGGTGTTGTAAATTGCTATCACCGGTCAACCTATCATAAAAGTTCTGTCAATATGATCCTCCCACCCACTCTTTTTAAATGACATAATAATACCCTGTGGGTGCCACAACACAACCCCACCTCCACTGTGTGATGTACATGTAAAGTGTGTTTACTAAGCAGGGCTGTGACAAGCATCCTTATAAACACTTTTCTGTAAGCTTGTCTGATGATCCCCTCAGGATAATTTATAGAAGTGGAATTTCTGAGTCTAGTGGTAAGCACACTGTATGTTTGAAAACGTACCACCAGCTTGCTGCTCAAAAAAGTCTGTTAGTGTAGGTCCCTACTAACGGGGTGTGCGAGACTGCCTTTTCCCATCTATTCATGAGCGCTAGATATTATCACTTTATTAATTTTCCAATCTTATTGGTGAAAAATGATCTTATTGATTTTGCATTTCTTTGATTACTAATGAGAGGAAACATCTCTTTGCCTTCTTATTGACCGTCCTCCCCTCCTCTATTTGACCTTGTGAATTGTTTGTGATGGTCATTTCCTATTGGGGAATGCATCCATTCCTGATTGGCTTTAACCCTCTTCATGTATAAAAATATTAACTCATGTGTCCCATGTTGCAAATGATGTTCCTCTCTGTCTGGCGCTTGTCTTGAAAATTTGTCATGTTTTTGCCCCTAGAAGTTTTAAATTTGCATATCATTGAAGTTGTCAATATTTTCATTTAGTATTTGGAATTTCAATTTTTTTCCTCAGGAAAATCACCACCAAAAATAATAAAATATTACTTTATATTTTCTTCCAATGCCTTTGTGGTTTTGATCTTTAAATCTTTCAAAAAATATTATTATCTTTCCTTTGAATGTCTAGACAGTTTTCCCAGTACTTTTAATTAGATAAAGTAAATCCTAAAGGCATATGGATGGCCCAAGTTCATATTTAAATCAGACAGATGCTTGGGTTATCTGGCCAAGGCCACGAATGCTAGACCCATTTCTCCTCCTTACCCTGTATTTCAAGTGAATTAATCTTTGGTTAAACTGTGGCTTTTGCCAGGATGTGGAATTTCATTTGTTAAAAGAAAACACACTTAAAGAAAAATCTGTGGCATGAGTCACATACTTAGAACTAACTCTGCCATTATGATGGGAGGGAAAAAACACAAAGCCTCAGGATGGCCAGTTAACTATTCTTTCTACCTCCTTGGACCCTGACGGAAGGAGAAGTGGAAGGAGCTGACTTCCTTTCCTCAACAGGCTGGTGTCAGGGAGGACTGATGGAAGGGGGCAGCCTGGGACACTCCTCTCTGCATCCTGCTGACATCAGTCCATGCTGTTGAAACTACTCTGGGAGAAGAGAAGAAGACTGTCAAGTATCTGCTAGTTATTATTAGCAATATTTGAAAACTGTCATATGGTCATTGAGGCAGGAGCCAAAAAACCCATGTCAGAATGTCAGATGGGCAGGAAAGAGTTAAAATTCTCAAGTTCCCATTTGGATTGGTTGGGTATATATGAATTTTGAGAGTATTTTCATGATTTACCAATTATTTTCTCTGATCTATTTAATTATCTGAAGACCTCTTGATGACATTTTGGGAAAGTGGATACAATAATAAAAATTGACATATTCCAGTCCTCCCAGAAATGTGCTCAGACTCTACCATTTAGAATCCCAGCCACCTACCACAGCTGCTGTTTTGCACTAGTCATGGTGTCCTGCCAACTCTTCAAAAGGGTCCGAAGAAAGGGTGGAGTGGGGGAGTCACGTTAAACAGCTGGGACAGCCAACTGGGCAGAAGATACAAGAGGGCTCCAAACATTCATTTCCTCTACCTAAGACCAAGAAGGAGGCATGAGACCCCTGGCCTGAAACCACAAAGAATGTTCCCGTAAGATGACTCTGGCTTCCCTAAGGTTATTATTGGGAGCCTGTGGGTCAGTGGTTTAAGAAGATGCCGACTTAGGTGACCTTAAGTTTAGAGTTTCCGTTTTCTGTTTCTGAGTAGGCCCTGGAATCTGCATTTTCTATAGCTCCTCTGAAGCCATAGAAAGCTTCTCCCACTCTCGGAGAAACGGAGACCTCTGGCAGGGGTCTATGTTAAGCTTGGTGGGAACCCTAATTCTGACTAGTAGAAGGAGGGAACCAGGACAAAGGCTGTCAATGCATGATAGAAAAAAGTATGTCTGCACCCAATTCAGTTTGCTAAGGTTTGGACAGAAAAAAGGCCCCAAAAGCAAAATATAAAACAGGACAAACCCCAAAGAGAACGGGCCACAAAGCACTCGCATGGCAATTTGGGTGTTCTACGTTTCTTTCCATATTACTTAAATTTTGAAGCAAATCCACCTACCCTCCCACACGCCTCTCTCCACATGGAAATAATATTTTGGCCGTCAGTGACCCTTATCTTTACAGGTCTCCTAATTTGAAAGACGCACGAACATGTCAGGAGTTCTGGCCCTTGAGGCTGGGTCATGTGGTGAGGAATTCCCGTCCCAGGCCTGGGATGAGAGCGGGGGAGTCACTCCGTCCACACTGAGTCTTTGATTAGCTACAGAGCACATGCTTTTTGCTCTATATTGTTGTAAAGACTGTACAGTTGGCCAGTGACCACGTATTAGGGAGTTGGACTGTCTGTGAGGGTCCCTAGTGAATTTCTAGAGGCTCAGGTTCAGGCTAAATGGTGTTTAACATGTTTGTCCAGCATTCTGAAAATTAGCTCAGGGCATTTCCCAGAGGCTGGAGGCAGCCCATGTAGTCATCTTATTGGAAAGTGTTTCCAGCATGAAATTATGGGTCATTCAAAAATCCCTCTTTCCGCTTCACTGTTGACTGCTCATTGTTTTCTGACACGTTGTTTTTTTTTTTTAAAGATTTTATTTATTTGACAGAGAGAAATCACAAGTAGGCAGAGAGGCAGGCAGAGAGAGAGGAGGAAGCAGGCTCCCCGCGGAGCAGAGATCCCGATGTGGGACTCGATCCCAGGGTGCTGGGATCATTGGTCTTTAATATTTAATATAAGAGGGACACACTGATCAAAGGAACAAGAATTTAAAGCTCTAAGTAGATCTCAAAAACCAACAAAAAGAGCTTGCTACTTATGAGCATCTTAATAAGACTGAAACGCCGAACAGCTGGTCTCTAATTTGGCTTTGGGCACTGTTTTTTTCATGTCATGTTGCTTGATTGGAACAAAGAACAAACGCTTTGTGGTGGCATTTCAGTTTGAGTTTTGTCCTGCTTCTCTAAAGCGGATATAAACTCATGTGTCTCTCTCTCTTGGTTCCTTAGTGCTGGAACTTTACCTGTTACCTTCCGTTGCCTGGAAGAAAATCTGGGAATCGATAAGCGCGTGACCAGATTTGTCCTCCCAGTCGGAGCAACCATCAACATGGATGGCACAGCCCTTTATGAAGCGGTGGCCGCCATCTTTATTGCCCAGATGAATGGTGTTATCCTGGATGGAGGCCAGATTGTGACTGTGAGGTGAGTGGAGATTGGGTGGAGGAGGCACTGAAATGACCTTTTGTCCTCCCCCCTTCCACACTAACTCCATTTGATGGGGCCGCTTGAATTTCAGGTCCCCTGGTGGAAGAATGATGAAGGAAATGACACAGAAGGGGAGTTACTGGCAGTCTCGAAGGGAAAATATTGTGACAGGAAAGAAGCAGGCTCATACGTAGGCCTTCTGTTTGTATTGCACATGTGAAATTGGTTTGGAAATTTGGTATGACGTGATTTTTAACAATCCTGTGATGTTGCAAGGCAGTGATTTCTACACCCATTTAATAAATTGGGAAGCACAGGCTTCCAGGGGCAGGGTGGTTGGTGAAGACTACCACATTAATGAGCCAGGAGGGCTGTAACAGGGGCCGACATCAGCTGACTCTGACTCCACTTTTCCTTTCTTTAAAATCTGTTCCCTTCAGCATTTCAGAGGGCGATGGCAGAAGTAACGAAACACTGGAAGGAAGAGGTTTCTCAATACAATAGAAACCATTTTATTATAACTAAGTAGCAAATTTAGATACCCATGTTTTACTAAATCTATTTTTACCCTATGTATTCATCCTTGAAGAAATTTAGGAAGAACACTTTCCCAAGAGATCGTTAACAATGCATTGCTTCTCCATAAACTTACAGATCACACTTACTTGCATATGCTAATTTCTCAAATGCTTACAGCCATGCTGTGAGGCATGGACTTGTCTTAGCTCAGGATGCTATAGCAGAATACCACAGACCCACAGGTGCTTAGACAACAGACATTGATTTCTCACGGTTCTAGAGACTGGGAGGACCACGATGAAAGTGCTGGCAAACTCAGTTCCTGGTGACTGTCCTCTTCCTGGCTAGTGTTGTCCTTCTTGCTGTTTGCTCTGGCCTTTCCTTGGCAGGTGGAGAAAGAGTGAGAAAGCTTTTGTAGGTCTCCTCTGATAAGAGCTAATCCCCTCATGAGGGCACCACCCTCATGACTTCCTTACCACCGCCCGCCACCGCCCCCTCAAAGGCCCTGCCTCCAAACACCATCACCTTGGAGATCAGGGCTTAGACAAATGAATTTGATAGTGGGGGACACAACTCAGTCCGTAGCAGCACTATAGGGGGGTACTCAGTTTCCTCATTGGGTATATTGGGGACATCCTAGGGAGTTAAGTGTATTATCCCTGGGACATAGTCACCTGTCAATAAATGTTAGCTACTAGTATTATTACTATTAGTGATGCTCAATAGCATTCAGTACTTCTAGAATATGAAAGAAGAATGTGACGGTGGTGTAGTGAGTGCCATGATGTCACTCAGGGAAATCGTACTTCAGATCTGGGTACCACGCTTTCTGAGTCACGTGGTCACAGAATGCACATAAGACTGCCAACGTCTCTTGCTTTAAAACTCAGAGACCAACAAAAGGAAAAACCCCTCCTTTTGAAGCCAAGTGAGATGATTTCTGGTCCCTGAATTCTTGGCCCTGATGGCAGCCACACTTAACACCAAGTTCACACTGTTAGATGAAAACTTAAGAGACGGGAGGATGGTCTGGTGACCAATGATTGGGATTGATTAATGCAGAGTTTTCAGTGTTGGAGGGATCGGGGATGGGGGCATCGGGGGTCCACACAGCATTGGAATCAAGCAGATGAGTGTCCTGAGCCCAGCAGACGGCGGCCAAGCAGTTCGATGTTTCTCCATCCGTCCGGTTTGTGGTTCCCCCCATGGAGAGCAGAGGCAACCATATGTACCTTGCAGGGTTACTGTGAGGCTCTGCTGTGACAATGTGTGTGTCATGCTCTGTACCGCGTCCAAGAACCAGCCCTGGAGAAGTGAGCCAGAGAGTGGAAGGACAGGAAATGCGGAAAGGGATAGAGAGATGGAGGAGAGATCACTGTCCCCAGGAAGCTGTTGCAGGCTGAAGGGAGAGTAGGGGGACCAGCTTCCAGGAAGAATATCCTTTATAGTCTTTTGTCTCACAGCCCAGAGGGGCCCAACCATGGGGCCACAGTGCAGAGGGATGTGTAAGAATGACTCATAACAGAAGCAACTGATGTTGTAAATAAAACGGCTGAGGCCTTGACCGTTGGAACTTGGGAAGTCCCTCTTTCCTGGTGTTCTACCCGTGCCAGGCAAATGGCAGAGAATTCCCACTTTCTAACTCTCGGGGCTTTAGGGAAGCTTTTATTTGCAAAGCGGCCTCACCCTGCCCAGACTTTCTGATAACAGGAACGGTTCACATTTACTGGGGGCTTGCAATGTGTCAGGCCTCTTCTATGTGCTTTCTATTTATTAGCTCCTGATGACGCTTTCTTAAAGATAAGGAAATCATGGCACAAGGAGGTAAAGTAAGTTGCTCAAAGTCCTGTGGTTAATAAGTGACAGAGCTGGGATTCGAATTTAGGTTGTTCCCTTCCATAATCTTCATCAATACCCACTCTATACTCTAACCTCCCATGATCCAGAAGGATCCAAAAAAATAAAAAAATAAAAAATGGAGTTCTTTAAGCCTTGATGGCAGCGCCACATTGACAGGGGCAGGAGAAGAGTACAGATGGGTTCTGTCAATCCCACCAAGGGGAGGTGTCCAGAAGGTGACAGGCTTACACCTGGGAGGATGGCAGTATGGAAAGACCAGCGCAAACCACAGAACCTCCTATGGTCTTCCTGTCCTCTTACATAAGATTAGGTAAATTCAGGTCCCTCCCCATGGTAAGACCCAGGATTCTGTGCTTGGTCACAGCAATGGTCTGAGTTCAGTTAAACCAGTTTGGAAGCCTGACTCTTAGTTTGGAGCTGGAGGACCTACTCTAGAAACTCTAGCTTTGTCTAACTACAAATAAAGCACCCCCCTTTTCTTCACTGTGCCCACAAAAGCAAGTTGGGAATCTATATTTTCATAAGCATCTTTCCATTTAGAAATGACAACTTTCAGAAATGGCATCAGAAAAGAGGAGGAAAAAGAGACTGCCCTTTGCTGGACCACAGAGACCCCCTGGTGTCTAGACAGGGCACTTGAACCCTAGATTGAACCCTCTTCCAGAGACAACTTCAAAACGGTGCTGGGTGTGCTCTTGGCTTTGCAAATGATGAGAGGCTTCAGAAGGAAAACCTCCTGTTATTGCATTATCTCTCCTTGGCGCCTTCTTTCTGAATAATGTATTTTCCAGTCCATGGTGAAATGTCCAGGCGTCTAAAGCTTAATGTCATTTGGAATCTGTTGATTTGTTCCCCTGATGTCCACTCAATTGGGTCTGGATATTTGCTATTCTGAGTTCTCATGTTAACATTGGCAGTGGCCTCCTCAGACTCTTGCCATGGAGTCCAAATGTCTCTGGGGCTCCCAGAGACATAAAGGCGTAAGCAGAAATGAATGCAGTGGTATTCCCATGGGAGGATTAGGGTGATTTGTTTTCCTTCTTTATTATTTCCCTGCCTGCTTAAGAGCCATGCTTACCTTAGTTGAGCCCTGCGATATGTTAGGCTAATTGGCTCTCCTGCTGAGCATAAGGCTACAATCCCTGAATTTATAAACTTCTACCACAGCTGTGTAGAATCCAAGGAGACCCTAATTCCCGGGTGCTGGCACTCTAGATTTCTCTGTTCTTTGAGAAACAAAAGAAATTTTATGACTGCTGGGAAAATTGAAGCCAGGGATGGTCTTGCCAAGTCCTCTTTCTCTTCCCCTGACCCAGTCTTCTCTGTTCGCTCAGCCTCACGGCCACGCTGGCCAGCGTCGGTGCAGCCAGTATCCCCAGCGCGGGCCTCGTCACCATGCTCCTCATCCTGACGGCTGTGGGCCTGCCGACGGAGGACATCAGCCTGCTGGTGGCCGTGGACTGGCTTCTGTAAGTGCCTGCCAAGGGGGCTGGGCTGCGGATGTGAGTCTGGCCTCCCGGGGCTCGACCAGATGCAAGGTTGCAGCCAAGGTCTTTGCAAAACCCCATGACAACTTCTTCCCTCCCTTCCCTCCCTCCTTCCCTCTAACATTTACCGAGTGCCTCATTGGGAACCAAAGGTGAAAAAAGCATGCTGAGGACCTCACAGTCCAGTGGAGGCATCAGATAAATTACAAAACAAAGTGAAAAGCCCAGCAATAAGGACACCGCCACGGATGCACGGGGGGTCCCGGGACATTAGGCTGAATGAACAAAGCACAGAGGATCCGATTTTTATGAAGCTGCAGGAAAGGCAATATAATCTTGGCAATAAAAAGAGATCAGTGGTTGCCTGGGCATGGACGGGGTAAAGAGACTAATTGGGAAGGGGCACAAGGAAATCGTTTTGGGTGGTAGAAATGTTTCATAGGCACAGGTACACACAGGGTCTACGTTTGTCAAAACTCATCAAACCATACACTTAGCTTGAGTACCTATTACCATATGTAAATTATACTTCAATAAAGTAGATGCAAATAGCTCATGTAGGGGTGCCTGGGTGGCACAGTCAGTTGAGCATCTGACTCCTGATTTTGGCTCACATCATGTTCTCAGCATCCTGGGATCAAGGCCCATGTCAGGCTCTGCGCTCAGAGGGGAGTCTGCTTGAGATTCTCTCTCTCTCTCCCTCTGCCCCTCCAGCTATCACTGGTGTGGTCTTTCTCTCTTACTCTCGCTCTTACCCTTGCTCTAAAATAAAGATATAAATCTTAAAAAAATATATAGGCTGCAATAAAAGGATCGTGCTAGAAAGAGGCACCCACCCCAGTCTTGGATGGAAGGGCAGAATGGGGGAATCAGGCAATAATGAACATGGCGACTGAATTTGCCTGGGCACCAGATGCCAGCCACGGCACCAAGCATTTTACTTCTTCCACTTTCTAATAACCCCCAAGGTTTGGTATTATTACTCTTGGTGTATAGATGAGGAAACTGAGGTATAGGGAGGCAAAGTGACTTGAGAGTGAGGAAAGATTTGAGTCCAGTTTGGCTTGGTTTGGGAGGCTGCTACGTTCTTCATCATGGCCATATTCAAGCTTCTGAAGGCAGTGAGAGCTGAGCTGAATTGTAACTGGTAGGTAGATATAGACAGGGGAGGAAGCAGGGCATTTCAGTCAAGGCCAAGGCCTGCCTGTGCAAAGGCACTGAGGCAGCAAACAGTGTGAGGACCTATGAGTGGTTTAGTAATACTGGAGTACAGAGTGGGAGGCAGGGTCCGGTGAAAGGTGGGGCAAAATGGAAACCCAGCATGGCCACGCAGAGAAGTTCAAACTTGATTGTGTCCACATAGCTCAGCTACCTTTCCCAGTATATTTACCAGTGAAGGGCATTTTCATACTGTAAGACACTCACTACCCATTCACAGGGCAAGTCTAGCCAGATGGCCCCCAACAGGGAGATGGGAATCAATCCTTGCTAAGGGCCTACTCAGTCTCTGATGTTCTGTGAGGTATACACTGATGCTTCCTGTCTAATCTTGGAGCTAAGCAACAGGGGTGGGGATGCTGTTGGGTTCAATGTCAGGGACACAGAGGTCCAAGGCCAAAGTGGCCACACAGATTTTTTAAACTGCTCTACATGGCAGGGGCAATTTTTCTGACATCTATTGGCATAGATTTTAAGAGCCAGAAGCCACCTTAATGCTTTTGAGTTTCCTGCATCTAAAACAACAGTTCCTTCCCCCTCCCTTCGCCCTTCCAAAAGGAAAAACACTCCTGTGACTGAAGGGAGGGACATCTGGAAAGCTGGAAGGAAGACTCACCTCTCCACAGAGCTTGCCTGTTGTTAAGATCTAGGTTAGAATAGAGAAGTGCTCCCCAGACGTAATCTGTACACCTTGGGAGGGCTGCAAGGAAGTTTCATGATCTTCTTGACGGGATCCTCATCGCCAGGGAAATGCTCTGAAAGTACCTTTAGAGGGAAGGTGAAGAGTGAGAAAAATAGCCTCATTCTCTGTCCCTGCTAGCCTCTCTCAGGGGCTGGGGGTGGGTCCTCTGTGCTAGTTCCGTTGTTCTGGGAGCCTGTGCTGGCTCCAGGGCAGCTTTTCTCACGGCGTCTGTCCGATGAGGCCAGGCGGTCATCATGGTGGCCAAGATTCCGCAGTGGTTTATGGGTGGAAGGATTGGGAGGGAATGGGATGAAGGAGACAAAGGAGTGGGGTGGGCTTTCCTGGGGAGGAGGACAAAAGGGAAGTGAGGGCATTGGCAATACTTTAGGGTCAGTCGGAGATCAATACATATGTGCTAAATTTCACCACAGAGTTGCTGTGTGATAACCAGGGGCCTTTCCACACAGGAAGAAAGACCGAGGAAACTATTGAAATGAACTGTGCTTCCCCTGTGACTTTTGCTTCCTGAGTCCTCTGCCCCTTGGCTCCTTGAACCCCCTGAAACGGTGGACTACTCTTGCCTGTGTGTCTCCATTACCTCGTCTCTTCTTGGGCTTATGTCTGAGGCCTGAAATCCACCATTAGAGACTGATCTTTTTATAAAAGATCATTATAGAGATAACCTTCCCTCATGATCATGCAAATGCCTTTTCTGAGTGAAAAAATCTGGAAATGAAGAAAGGGAGCTGGTACCTGGTGGATTCCGCCATGTTCTTTACATGTGGTAATGATTAATCCCCGAAGGGCCCTAAGGAGTGTTTCACAGATGATGAAACCGGGAATCAGAAGAGTTAAGTGTCTTGCCTGTGGGCACAAGAGAGCTTGGGTGGTCAGGTCAGGACCCTTTACCACTACCCCCATCCCTGACACAACTTCCTACTTGACCAGGCAGATCTAGCGGTGGGCAGAAAGCAGAGAGGCGCTCAGTCAGAAAGGTTTAGGGAAGACAGACCTATTAGGGTCACCCCCAGTTTCACAGAATAACCAGGGAATTTTTCGTTTGACCTGTTTTTTTTTCCTCCTCCCCAGACTAAAACAAAACATCAGAAAAGCCTAAATGGGGACAAAAGGGGTCCAGTCAAGGTCTCTGCTACTCCGAGAATTCAAGCCCTCCAGCCATTGTGGGCGCTGGGCTTCTTGGCAGTCATTTGCTTCCAAGCCTGTTGGATGAGAGCCATTTCATGAAACGTCTAAGACCCTACCCACTTCTGACCTAAATGCTAGCAAATGGAATAGGAGGGCTGGGTCCTCCCCATCACCCCACACCAGCACTCACATGTTCGTACTTGCGCCGAGAGCAGGGCGTCCTAACTCCAGGGCAGGAACGTGCCAGCAGAAGGGAGTTGGCTGAACCCAAAACTGATGATACATTTGGATTAACTATATTGATGAAACTCTATATGAGAAAACTCAATCCCAGGCTGGCGTGGGAAGGAAGGAACAAATGAAGAGCTGTCTTCTGGTTCTGGGGTTGGATCTCAGGTGCGGGAGGGGGTGGGGGCTCTGTGCCCAGAGAAAAGAAAACAAACAGTCAGGAGCCCTGGATCTGAGCTCTGCACTTACTCTTTGTGCGACTTTGAGCAAGTTACCCTCCAGACTTCAGCTCTGTCATGTGAACAGTGAGAATAATGACTTGTCAGCTTAAAAGCAGAGTCTAGACCCCATGCCCTTGAGTGCCCTACTGGTTTTAAGACCTGGACTAGTATTCTGAGGGTGATGGATGTTTGTGTACAAATAAGCCTGAACGTTCCTTTTAAGAAGAGGAAAAAAAGGGAGGGTAGAGGAGCCTGGGAAAATGTGTGTAGGGGTCTGTAGCTAGGTCAGATCTGCTTTGAATTAGTAATGGTGGCACATTCTTGCTCACCAGCAAGTGGAGCTCTGGAAACACACTCTTGGTCATGGGCTCTGTGGCCACTGGGTGCCCGTTACAGTGTGAGCAGGGTCAGAGGGAAGAGGTGACACAGATGTACAGGGGGAGGCTGGCCATTCCCTAGTGAAATAGTCGGTGGTGGAGGCAGGGGGGCGGTGAAGTAGAGAAAAAGAAAAGGTGAAGGGATTTTTTTTTTTCTCTCCAGGCAAAGCTTGTAAGCTCTCATAACTCTAGCAATTTTTCAATTTAAAACCAAACAAAGCCTGCAGTGACATTTAATGTGCCACAGTGTTTGCCAGCTGCTGGAGACTGGCCAGCCTCATTACTGCCCGCCAGGCCCTGGATGCTTTTTGATGGGCAGGCTTGGCTGCTCTGTAAATGTCATGGTGAAAACGAAGATTCTGGGCCCCGAAAACTGCCGGAGTCCTCGAACACTGGATGGAAGGGGCTGGTAAAACCAGAACCTTCCCCAGGGTCCAAGAAGCCCTTTGTGTCAGGAATTCTTGGCACCTATTTCTAAGAGAACTCGCTGACACCCCCGTCTCTTGGAGGGAAGCAGGAAGGAACCAGTACCAGGAAGAGGTAATAAATAACCAGGTCTGGCCACAGGTGGCAAAAGGAAAGCCAAAATACAGTGAAACCCAAGGGGATCCATGACCCACTTATCATGTAAGATTGCTAGTGAGATCATTTCTGGGGACAGATTTACTAGCTGGGGGACAGAGTTGAAATTGAACTTACTAGGGAGACTTACGGCCTCCCTCCTGCAGGGGGAGCTCTGAAGCTCCCTGTTAGCATCTCTCCCTGGAGGGACTAGAGCAGTGATGCTCAAGCTTGAGCATGCGCCAAGATCTCCTGGAGATTCGGGAGGTCTGGAGTGGGGACCAAGAATTAGTATTGCCAGTGATGCTGAGGATACAAGCCAGGGACCTCACTTCCAGAAACCATGTATTAGAGATAGGGAAGGTAGAGTAGGGGTCCCTGATTTGGGGATATCAGCACTTCGATTCTTTTTCAAGCAGGGCTTCAACTCATGACCCTGTGATCAAGATCTGAGCTGAAATCAAGAGTCGGATACTTTACCAACTGAGCCACCCAGGCACCCCTTGGTTCTTCCCTGAACACCAGTTGGCCGTTCTCACATCTAGTCAA